CTTGCGTCAAGCATTTGCAACTCTCTTGGCCAATTCTGGAGGGGATATTACAACACACAAACGCTACGGTGGATGGAAGTTATCTATCGTGGCAGAAGGTTATATAGAAGAGACAATTTCCAGCAAAATTGATATTGCTAAAAAGATACAAAGGGTGCAGACTCCTGAAACAAGCACGAGCAAAGTGGCAACCTGTTCTATTTTACTACAATTACAAAATGATTCCAATAATCCTTTGGCATCAAATTACGGCTTTACCATAAATGTTAATATCAATAAATAGGTAGATTGTAAGTTTGTAGCATTTAGGTTATTTGTTGACTTATTACTATTTCAAATCGTTTTTCTAATAAAAACTAGAAACATAAATCAAACATTTGTCTTTTTATGATTTCTATAAGTCACCAATGGGTTATAAGTCAACTTACTAGTGACTTATGACTTATAACTCATTAGTGACTTATAGGCCACATTATTCCGTTAAAACCAAAGAAATTATAGTATTATTATAATAATATATTAAGTGTTGGATAAAATAAATAAAACTCGACTCCTATTTTATAAGTAACCAGTTTCTAAAAATTAACTCAAATACCTATTTCTCGTCACATTTTCAACTAAAAATTATTTTCTAATTACCTAGAAGCTATAGCATAATTAAAAAACAGAAAGCAATTTATCGCTGGAAACTTTTAAAGTTTTTATTAAGGTAATCTTAAATTTTCCATTGACACAACAAGCGTTTGGCTAAACCACGCCACCTTGAGTCTCATGGCCTGGTTAAAAGTCCATTGCGGTACCGCTTCATTTACCTCCGACATCAAAGCAAGGCATTAGCTCCCTTTCGGCTCCCGGGATGCATCTGTACGCCCTCGTGATACCTCCAAATGGCATCAAACGCTTAGAGCGCAATTTAGACTTATTAGACTTACTCTAGGATCCCGGGTGAGCATTATTCATGTTAAATGACCTCGAAAACGTTGGCCATTAAGCGGTCTATCTAGAAAAGGCCACTACCACAAATTTTAAAGGCTGGACAATGCGCCGTGTTTTATGCGACATATATTTCACTCTAGATGCGAATGCAATACTTTTTTTTCTCTACACTAAACTGTAAATTCAAGGAGATTTATTTTTTCAGGTAGTTTACAGTACAAAAATTACTACTTGTCACGTAATTTCCTTAACTTAGCTCTTAAAATAAAAATTTCAACTAGGAATAAATATCGCGACAAGCTTTTAAATCGCATAAAAACATGAACATACTGATTATAGATATAGTGCGTGTCTATTTATCATACTTTTACTGATGATACTTCTATAGAGCAGCCATATTCAACACTTCTGTGGGTTTTCTTTTTAGTGCATTTTAATAAAAGCTTGTTTTTAAAATATTTTTGTTTACATTTCATTTATTAATATTAAGTATTGTTTTCTCTTTTTTATCCTGCCCAGTTATATTTTTATGTATTATTTTGTTTTGTTATTATTTTATCAGCCAAAACTATTTCTTAGCAAAAATGGATATTCTTGTCGGTCTTCGGCTTGTTGTATCCTCAAATTATATGAAGATAACTTTACGTGGATATGCTTCCTGATGAAACTATTTTTCTTTTTCCCAAAAATTTGAATCATATAGCATAAACCTACTATTTTATTAGTTATTCTTACTAGTTTATAAAACCACCATAAACAACTTGCCCATTGATCTACATTTTCTCTGCTCTTTATCTTTATTGTTCTAGATCAATAGATTATACAGGGTGTCTCATAATTAGCTGCCAACCCGGAACAGGCCGATTCTATGATCAAAACTAAGTAAAAAAGTTCATATGAACATTGGTCCAGAAATGCTTCCTACGGGCACAGGTACCCATTGAAGAGGGAGGAATGGAAATCATTTTTTTTGCAATATCTCTCAATCGTGTTGTGATAAATGAATGAAATTTGGTATACACAGCTAAATTTTGATGAGCAATTTGATGGACTAATCCATTTATTTCCACAAGGTCCTTTCGGGTGGGTACGGGGGGGCCCTTGGTACTTTGCGTGTGTAACTTTTTTATCTTTGACTTTTTAACAAATTGGACAGCAAATTCCGTTTTCCCGAACTGTTTTACGTTAAAAAGGTACTCTTGTTTCAAATCGTTATCTTTAACGATTTCTGAGAAAATCGCTCTTGAATTAATCCCACTTTGGTCAATTTCATTGTAATTTAAACAAAAAATTTTGTTGTTTAAATTACCATGAAATTGACCAAAGTGGGATTAATTCAAGAGCGATTTTCTCAGAAACCGTTAAAGATAACGATTTGAAACAAGAGTACCTTTTTAACGTAAAACAGTTAGGGAAAACGGAATTTGTTGTCCAATTTGTTAAAAAGTCAAAGATTAAAAAGTTACACACGCAAAGTACCAAGTGCCCCCACGTACCCACCCCAATGGACCTTGTGGAAATAAATGGATTAGTCCATGAAATTGCTCATCAAAATTTAGCTGTGTATACCAAATTTTATTCATTTATCACAACGCGATTGACAGATAATGCAAAAAAATGATTTCCATTCCTCCCTCTTCAATGGGTCCCTGTGCCCTTAGGAAGCATTTCCGGACCCATGTTCATATGAACTTTTTTACTTAGTTTTGATCATAGAATCGGCCTGTTCAGGGTTGGCAGCTAATTATGAGACACCCTGTATAATTTGTATTTTTGACAAGTCATACTTAAACATTTAATGAAGTTTAAGAGAATTTTTCCTGCTGTAAATATAAAACTACAACAGAATCAATAAAACTAAACAAAAGAAAGTCTAAATGTATTTATTGTTCATTGAGCTCATTTTAATATTTAATAGTTCAACTCTGTTCAAAAGTTCCAACGGAGATGACCACGATCGATATTGAAATATATATAATACATAATGACACCAGATATTAAAACAGCTTTTACTTTCCATCTATATTTTTCAGGAAAAGCGTTGTTAAAGCAATTATACTTTCTTATTACCTATTGAATTAGTTTCATTAGTAAATTTATCTTGGATTTAGTAAACCAACAGACAATGAAATGGATCCCAGACAATTTAAGGATTAGAATTACGTCAATGAACAATTGTGGGTTATGGTTTCCGATATCCAGGTAATGGCTGAGTCAGCCATAAATCCATATTGAATTTATACACTACATCCTAATTCAATCGACTCAGATATGCTGATTCATATATTTGGTTTCCAGATATAAAATCGACAACATTAAATGGTAGTTACTTAATTTTCTACATCTAGATTTAGTGGGACATACGCAGAGCAATTTATTTCGGACACGAAAATGTCACGATTTAATAATTTTATTTTAATTCCTTTTAATTGTTCATGTTTAATTCTAGGGTTCGTATTTTCATTTTACTTTAAAACGCTAGGTAATTAAAATCCAGTTTAAAAATGTTCCTCATGCCAACTACGAGACATATCCACAAAGTAAGAGTACTGAGACTCTGAAGCTTTGTGGTTTTTGTTTTCGACACTTGGCAATACTGCATTCAACGCCAAGGTGTTGGGAGCAGAACGTGGCCTCATTTATCTGAGTCAGTTGAGAATTGTTGTTGTAGTGGCATGTTGAAATGAGGCTCACTAGACTCCTGATACGAAAAGACAATCAATGCAGTGGCGACATCCATTTTCACCATCAGCGAAAAAATGTAAAAGTGTTGTTTCAGAAAATCATGGTAACTGTGTTTTGGAACCATAAAGGGATTATCCTCATTGACTTTTTGCCCAGGGGGAAACAATTAATTTTTAAAAAATTGAGTAGTCTTACTTTATGGATGTATGATAAAAAGCAATTTCAAAGACCAGCAATTAATTCATAACTAATAATGTTTTAGAAATAACTACGTCGTACTCGTATCAACTCGTAATTATCTAAAAAATAATCTATCCAATATTATTACTGAAATAAAAAAGTATATTTGACATACTGAAATAATTTAATAATACATTTCAAAGAAGCTATATATTTTTTTTTGTTTCTAATATGAATATCACCTCTTTAACAAATATTAATTAACTCTCGCAATGAACCACAACAGATGAGCTGACCTATTTCTGTATGTATTTTAAATATTGTTTTTTCAGGTGGGCTCCTTTTTAAAAGTAGAATATATCAATATTTAGAGACATTAAATTATATAAAAACAATTTTTTATAGTAAACAGAAAATTTTCAAGGACACTGTCTACATTAACATGAAATAATATTTTTATTTTTGTCTATCCAATTATAATGTATTGATTTATCCATTTTATTAAATTATATTAATGATACATTTTTAATATTTAATAGCTTTTGTACTTTTACTTTACTTTAAAATATTTATTAATTTTGATTTTTTTAACATAATTGATACGGTTCTTAAAATTTGAAAGTGGTGAAAGATTCTGTCAATATTCAGATCAATATCATAAAAACTCTAACTTATATAGTTGAGGCAAATGATTAAAAACACAAATCATTAATTTCACACTTGATTAACTTTTGCAATAAGATGAGATGTTTGAAAACTCGATAAAAAAAGTTATAATCTACATTTTTGGAAAATAATATTTATTCTTTAAACATACTTGCATCTGCTGAAAAAAATAAAAGAAATAAATAAACCAGGCAGAAGGTTTGCTAAGTGTTATTTTTTTATGAAACTTGTATTTTTTCTTTGTCTACGATTGAAATTTTGGTTAGGTAAAATTTTAATTTTTCCACAGGAACAAACAGAGCAAGAAGTATTATTTATCCAGTAAAAAAACTCCTGTCAAGAATGATAGAACACATATTTTGATTCCGGTAATGAATTCTAAACAACGCACAACAAACATAGAAATAAATAGTTAATTTTCTGGAATTGAATCTGCTGATATGCGAAGGAAAATCACGAAAATTATGTACTAAGTAACAGTTCCCACAATTTTGTTTGTATAATTAAACAATTACAGTTAGTTAGCTACTTACCTAAACATCGGAAGGGTTTCACCCATCTAGCCGTTTTGCATTTTCCTCTTGATTGAGTGCCAGCGGTAGATCCAGCTCTACACCAGGATCCAATTTTAAGATAGTGACTGCTTTCTACGATGTTGGTTATATCTCTTTTTGGATATACCTGCAAAAAATATAGGTACCTAAGTGATATACAATGGAAAATTTACGAGACGTTTTTAATAGAAACTTTAGTAAATTATGAAACCCACAGAAATGATGAAACGTTTCTGCAAAATACATAGTTTTTATTGTATTAAAATATAGGATTTTAACTTACATAAATTGAAATAAGTGTTAACAAACAAAAAAAAAATATAGAGAGCATTCAAAGATAGAGGTAGAGAGAACGAAAAATTATTTTATTTTTAATTTTCTTGTTATATAATTCTGCTTCTATTCAAAATAAATGTTAAAAACTATAGTTTTAAGCGGATACATATCAGATGTTCTCTGCAAAAAAATGATTTGAATTATAGTAGTTGATTTTAGCCGTAAAACTTAAAAATTATTATTATTTTTTCGTAAATATATAACTGTTTCTTCTTGCAATTCGGTATACAATTCATTCTTTTTCATCGGTATATACATGGCCTACTTAATTGTGCCAAGAAACATTTTAAAAAATATTTGGCAAATATTTCTTGAAAGATTATTTTTGTGTAAATGAATGTATAAAACAACATTTAAAAGGAAATTTAATACAGATTTTATCGAAGAATAGGGAGTTCCATCTGGAAAAATATAAATTTGTATTAGTTTTGGAAGTTGAGGGATAATAATATACTACTTATGTAAAAAAGTGTGTAAAAAATCTCTTTTCAAAAATCTAATATTTCCGCAACAAAAAGTTATAGGGCATCATAGAAAACGAGCAAAATTGAATAACGCCCTATATAATAAAGATATCCAGTTGCCATTCAATTTCTCCTGATTTATTCCCTATTGAGACCCTTCGCCACAATATGAAACAACAACGTAAATACTCAAATATAATTTTGTTGAATGTTTATATTTTAATAATAATCCGGGCGAATTGGACCAAACACAATCATGCCTGTTTTAAAAATCGGGCCTACGTCGCATTTTATGGGCTTAAAACTAAGTAAAAAATACGCAGATTAAAAGGTTAAATTTGTGTATTTGTAGAAGTCGAGCGTCATATTGTTGATAACAAAAGAAAAAAAAATAATTGCTCTTTTTTAAGTTTTTCGCTTAGATCTTCGAAAATAAGCCTCTAATCGACATGAGGTATACTTATCGATTTTGTTCCTGAGAAAATTTGCTATAGGCTTTTGCGAAAGCTCGCAAAATATTTTTTACATTGCAAAATAAGGGGTGAAAAAAATGTGCAAAATTTTCAGCATTAAATAAAAATAACGAATTTGGCTGAAATTGGATGAAACTACAAAAAAATATACCTGTTGGGGTGCTCAACAAATACTCGCAATCCGGACCCCCAATTTCAAAATGGCGGCCTATTGCAAAATTATAATGTCGAAAACGCGAGCGCGTATATTTTCTGCCCGGGTCAAGATATTGAAATTTGGCAAAAAATGATTTAAAGGTCTCATGTCTGAAACATTCGTTAAAGGCAGGGAGATGCCGCTCGGCGGCTCGCGCGGCTGAGCGGAGGGGAGCTCTGTGAGGTCATAGTGCCCTTGCTGCCCTCAGCTTCACAAAATTCTTACTTAACAAATGTATTGTGACACTTAGAAAGCAGCTACCGGAACGCTTTTTTTTAAATCAACTTATTTTTTTCCGCTCTTTTGAATGGTGTAGGCAAAAGTATGTGAAAGTCATCGCCAGACTCCGAAAAATACATATTTATTGACTTTTCACGATTTCTGTTGTAATTATGCTTTCGATATTTTCACAAAAAGGTCTTTTTACGTATTTAAAATCAAAAGTAAATTATTTCTTTGAAAAAAGTGATCGTTACTCTATTTGCGTGCTCAGAAAAGGTCAACGTATAAAATATTGTCTTAAAATTAACTGTTATTCCGTAAATTGTGCCTAGAATATTATTGAATGGTACAATATTAACATTACATTTAAATACTACATTTTATAGTATTTAAAAGAATTGTTACATTCAATTCTACCATATTTTATTTAATTAATTGTATTATAAAGTTGTCTTAAAAAATTAAAAATTTTTATAAGAATATTAAAATTAAAATAAATTAATTTATTAATTTAAAAAAAAAAATAATTTATAGGTAATATCTATGTTTTAGACTTGATGAATTTTGCCATTTTGCCACATTCAAATCACGTACTATACAACGTAAACAATTAACTTGAAAAAATCATTGTCCATTGTTCATTGACCATTGTTCAAGTTGATGATGGTCCTTGCGAGACGAAACGTTACATATAAAAATTGATTACGCCATTCGATAGAGGGCAAAAAGTTGCCATGAGAAAGTGTTCTTCTTTTCTCAGTATCACCTCAAACAAGGCTTAAATAAAACAAAAACGGATTTCCAAAATTTGTTTTTTTTTTCAAATATTTCGAAAACTAATCATGTTAGCCTTGATTTTTTAGAGGCATAATGTTGGTTCCCCTGATTATGCAACATTGCCCCCATTTAAGCTAGTTCGTATCTCCTCCATAGTGAGAAGCAAATTTGTAACAGCCTGTATAAACGAGTGATTTTATTTTAACTTATGGAAGTAGAAAATCGAGAAAAACATTTCGACAAGACCATTGTCACGAATGACATTTGACAAGAATATTTCACGAAATGTCATATTTACCTCAATATTTCAAAATTCAATTCAGTTACCCAGCAATAGGTGCTTTTTTGTCAGCGATAAAACCGTAATTATGTGGCTTTACCAGCGACAAAACTAGCAGATTCGAGTTTTGTCAATATAGCAATGATGTGAAAGGTAAAAAATGAATCAGAACATGGTATTTAATTGGTTGTAACACAATAAGAAAACAAAGTAATAAGGTTCTAAAGCGAAAAAAATTTCAGTAGCTAAAGTTTTGTCAGTATAATAATAACGCAAAAAATTGCATTTGATTAGTTATAATGCAGTGAGTAAAATTTAAAAAAGAACTGAACGAATACAATCCCTGCCCAATTTTATCAAACGCAGTGTCACCAGAAGAAAGATAGATTTAAAAATGTGTCTTAGCCCAGGTTTTTTACTTTTGGTAGTCGTTCTTCGTTAAACTTGAAAATAACCAGGTGTCACAATATAAAGTTACCGTTATTCAATAACGTTTAAAATGTATTCCCTTTGTAGGAAACACTCGTTCTACCAGAATCCTTAGAGGGATTTCAGGAACGAAACTTATAAAACTCGTCTTACAAAGGACCATAAGCGGAAACATTTTATTATGTACAACTAACTGTACAATGAAAATATTTTAGTATAAATTAAAGGTTAAACGGCGTATTTTTTTAAACCAATTTGAAAATTACAAAACAACTAAAAGAGGAACAAAAAGTGGTGCAAACTATTATTTAGTTTCACAGAATGTTTAAAAAACGAACAGTTCGAGTCGAAACTCTAAAAACAATTTAAAATTAAACTAAATTTTAAATATTTATGAAACAAAATGGTAATATGCAGATAATTATTAAACTGAAACAATTGAAAACTGACATTTTAATTATTTCGGTTTGACACCTACCTACCTCAATTTTGTTCCATAAATAACATTAATAATAGGGGTTTTAATCGAAGGTGACTGACTGATTTGAATTAAATTCATGAATAAACCGGATATCAAATTTATGCTCTTGTGAAAATAAATATATTCGACAGAGTAATTTATTTCTTTAAATTAGAATTACTTCCGGTTAATTTTCTTCCTTTTAGTAGCTACTCAATCTTTCCTTCCTTCCTTCAAACGTAATAGAAAAGTTATTAAGGTGATTTAAAAATAAATACAAATTCATTTCAGTCGATTAAATATTTCGATTACACAGATTATTAATCCAATTTCAAAATAATTTTCAAATAAAAAATCTCATCAAAATGAGACGAAAAAACTATTCTTACGTATATGTATTCGTAATTGCTTCTTTTGCCGATAGAGGGTGGCGTAATATTTAAAATAATTCCATGTATACAGAATATTGGAACATCCTGTATATCTCTATAGAACTTGATTACATTTCTGTTTAGCTTGAGAAATAGTAACCAGCAAATAATACATGAGTATTTACTTCATATCAGATGCATAAAAAATAATATTTTACTAAACAAAATAGCGTTCAAACGATGTGTCATTTTTTGAAATTTGAATAAAGTAGACAAACTATCTATAATACTATATTTGTTTCCATCGTTTTCTGTTCTTATTTGTATGATTTTATTGGCAAACGTCTCAAACTTGATTTTGTTTATACAGGGTGTCCCAGTGACAACTTACAAAAATTTACCAGTCAGTTTTCTATGAATCATTTAATATTTTGTTACGTATAGGGGAACTAAAAATAAAAATTAAAATTGTATAACAGAAACGAAATTATGCTGGCAAAATGACAATATTAGAAATAAAAATAGAAAACAATTATTTCAATAAATGCTCGAAATGCTGTCCATTTACTTCAATGCATGCCTGATATCGTTTGACTAAGGAATTGTAAACCCTTCGCAAATCAACGGTTGCTTGAATTTGCTCGAAGGCTGCATTCATTTTTTGAAGTCGTGTCTTGTGTTACTGGGTTTGGCATACACCAGTTGTTTCATATGACCCCAGTAAAAAAATCAAGCGGGCTGAGGTTAGGGAACGTGAAAGGCCACATAATAGGTCCATTTTTCCCCAATCCAGCGTTCTGGAAAATGTAAATCGAGCCGCGCAGATACCTTTTCTCCGTTACAAATAGGTGATCCATCTTGTTGGCATTACATTTGATTTCGCAAAGCTAAGGCAATGTCATCTAGTACTCCATCAACAATATTTTCTAAAAAATCCGTGTATCTCCCTGAATTCAAACGGTCTACAATAATTTGATGAGGCAGAATGAGTTCGTTGAAGATTCCTCCCCAGACATTTATGAAGAATCTTCTTTGAAACGTGGAGGGTCATATTACATGGATTTTCAATGGATCAAACATGAAAATTTTTTAAATTATTTATAGCATTTCTCGTAAAGA